AATGACTTTAGGGCACAGCAATAATGCACTCCTCAAGTGATACTAGATCCCACATGGTGACTGATTCGAATCTCCAGCCATGTCAGCTGGAAAATATATTAGGCATGCACACCAGTGCCCAAGATCCAATGGACTGGAGGAAGGAGATCATGGCATGACCAGATCCTGTGGAGAATGCTTCTGATTCTCTCTCACATGCATGCATATACATTCTGTCATGAATAAACAAAAATAAATAAAGAATGAATGATTTTATAAAAGAGGTTTATGAGGTTTGGCACATTATCTTTTTTTTTATTGAGATTTTTGCTATAGAGTGTATGTTCTTGACCAAGAGACTGAGAGAGAGAAGTGAGAAATCACTCCCCTGGGGGAATGACCATACTACATTCCCTTCTCCTCCATTCTCTGAGGATTTGGGGCATGCATGCACATGTGCCCAGTGTGAGTTTCAAACCACTGGATCTGGGATTCAAACTGCGTGGCCATGTGGGAGTCCAGTGCCTAAACCAGTACGTGACCTGCTGATCCTACTCTTTCTTCTTTTTTAATTGACAGAGGGCACATATGCTCACCAGGGAGAGAGAGAGAAGGGGGGGAGAGAGAGAATGAATACATTCCCAAAGGAACATGGTCATATCATAATCCCTTCTCCAACTCTCCATCCTGTCAGGACTTTAGGCACATATGCACACTCACTTGGTGTATTTTTAAAGCCACCAAGGCCAGGACTGGAATCACAGTTGACCATGTGGGATCCAACTCCCTTAATCATTAGGCTGTCAGTCTGGCTCATACGTTACCTTCTTTGAATAAGATATACCTACTTAAAAAAAGATTTATTTTTGAGAGTAAGAGAAAGAAAGATAAGCACCTTTAGCAGGGTCACACACCTCAGTCACTCCCTACTGACCAGGTTTTCCAGCCAGCTAGGAACATGGGCACATGCACCTTGCACGTATAGATCAGCCAGGGAACCAAACCCATGACTCCTCATATGGATCTAGCATCATGTGAGCAGTGCATTACCATTGTATCACCAAACTAGCCTAAGATACTTTCTAACAGTATAATCATGTAAGACTGTCATACTTGAGCCACAGTTGACTTTTGCTTTTCATGGCATTGTTGTTCATTGCCAGTTAATAGTCTCAGTTGCCACTTACTTTTAATTCTCCTTATTAATGCTAAATTAGTTCATTAGAAGGGTGAGCTAGATTTATTCATCAGGAGGGTGAGATATTATAATAATGATGGCTTGAAAGCATACAGGTTTCATGCAATTCCTCTCCTTTCATAAAGTTTTGTTGTATTAACATTTTGGCATGCATCAAGCCTTAGGAGTTGATGAGAGTAATAACTTTTCAGAGTTGTACATTTAAGGTCTCATTATTGGAGTGCACTGTGATTGGGTTAATGTTTAACAGTGGCTGTCCTACAGATTTACTTAGGGACTTGGGAAATAACATTTTTACTCTTCTTTACTGAACATGCCTAACTACCCAGTTAATAAAGACCTGCTTTAAAATAGTCCTCAGAATAGGGCCAGAGAAGGGAAGGCCTTTAATAGAAACACAGTAGTGAATTTATTGTCAGGGCTGACTAACTTTCACTCAGGCTGGATTAATGAGTAGCAGAGTTGATGTTGCTTTCTGGGTAGAGCGCTATTGAAACAACTCATTTTCTTGACTGTACTCTGGGTTTTCAAAGTGACTAAGTGTGATTAAAGAACCATTTATAGTGAGTTCAAGTGCAGTTCAGTTTTACACATTGTAATTAGAATATGTACATAGAGAAATAAATATAAAACATGTGTATAAAGATAATTATAAAGTGAGCATTCAAGTAACTACTGCCCAAACCAAGAAAAATGACCAGTATTCTGGAAGCCCCAACCTCCTGCTATGTGTCTCCTAAGAGGGACCGTCTCCCTTGAATAGTTCTTATCTTTGCTTTTGTAATTTTCTTACTTTTTGTGATGTAATCACTTATATTTGTATTCTAAAGTGATATGATTTGTATTCTAAAGTGATACAATTTAGTGATATAATGAATGTTTGCATGCTTTTGAATTTTAAAGGAGTAGAATTATAATGTGATGTGCTCTATTGTTTCTAGTATCTTTTACTCAGCATTATGCTCATGAGGTTTTATCCATGTTATTGCTATCCAGAGCATTTTTAAAAGCCTTTTCTATGTTTACCTCTCTCTTTTTTAGTTAAGACCTTCAAATTCTTTTGGATATTTTTCCTTTATCTTCTTGGACTTTCTGCTAAGTGAGGTCTGAAGACTAAAACTTACCTGGGTCTCAGTTTTCTGAGCTGTTTAGATGAGACTACATCTTTAAGGCTTCTGTGCTCTGTTAAAAATCTTCCTTTCTCCAAGCCTGGTCCAAGGGTCTGGTCATGTGATTTCAACAGTGACATCACATTCTGACCGCCGGGGAACACTGGTGGTTCTTTAGGTGGCGTTTGTTGCTGTGAAAGGCAGAGAACGCAGCAAGTGCCCTTCTAAAAAGCACTTCAGAGCAGCGCTCCTTCCGTAAAAAGCGCCTCAACCTAAAAGACCAAATGTGGGCTGCCAAGGTTATTTCTTCCTTGAGGCAGAAAAAAAGAAACTGTGATTGAAGGTAAGCAGATTTGAGCCCAGCCAAGGACTCAAGCATGCCCCCTGGGCAGGGGATCTGGAGAATCGCAAGCAGATTGTTGTAGGATTCTAATCACTGCCTGCTCTAAGAGAGTGGCCTCACAATTGCATTTCCAACAGGAGCCAGACTACAAAGGAGGAGGATGTGGTGCTCATGTTACCTAGTGATGTAATAGGATTCTTTCTTTCCTGCTAGGAAGCTGTTGCAGATCTTTATTTCGCTGTAATATCCTTAAAACTGGGGGTCTAATTTGATATATAGTGTAACATGAGATAGCTATTGATGCTTTTTAAAAATCAGTTTCACAAAATCCTTTTTTCATTTCTTTCCTGAAAGGAGAACTCTTAAATCAGAGTAAATTCCATTGAACCCTTAACCTGTCTTCAAAAGTACATTTCTAGTTGTTTGGTAACCTGCGTTCATTTGGCTCGATAATTGATACAGCTTGTCTCCCCCACCCCCACATACTCATACTTCATTCTCTTTCTGTGCTTATTTGCTAGGAGGCTTTTTCCCTCCAAGCTCTCAGACAGCATACCAGCTTTCATCTTTATCAGTATGACACTGACATGATAGGAAATGCTTGGCTGGTGATTCAGCAGCCATCCATTTTATAGTCAGGTACGAGTGAAGATATGGAAAGGACTTTGGTTTGGGTTTTAAGATTAACTTGTTCACCTCTTCCACTCTACCCCCACCTCCACCCTTCAGAGGATTTAGACTCTGCAGAGCCTTTCCTTTCAAATGTGTATGAATGCTGCTTAAGAAAGGTATGCTGCATTACATATTCAGAAGACTTACCATTGGTAAGCCTGGTATAGCATGGGTGTTCATTCAGACTTACCCCATGAGAGTGCTAAAGTTGTCTGTCAGGAGTTTACAGTGAAGATAGAGATTCAAATGGCAGGAGAGTGTCAGTTCACACCCAGTCAGTTCACACCCACTCGGGCCTTCTCTGCAGAGGAATTCATCACCAAACAATCCTAAGGAAGCCTTGTGCCTACCTAGGTTGGTGCTGCAAATGTGAGCTTTGCCTGGGTGAATTTAAATGATGGCATTACTCTGTAATTTTCTCAATGTACATTTGCATAAATTTCCCAATACTACTTTATATTTTGTGTTCAATAGCAAACTATTTTTCAGCAGTTGATATTGCAGAAATATTTTAAACAAGTTTATTTAGCTTTGTATGAGTACAACTTCTAAGATTAAGTACTTTTCCCTCATCTATTCTATTTGTCAAACAAATTTTGTTTGGTTCAACTGATATTTGTTGAGTTGTAGATATGTACTAGACATTGTGGAAACAGCAATGTGAATAAGATATTGGGCTACCAGCAAAGAGCTTCTAATCTATAAAGGAAGATAAAGCATATGTCTAAGTAATTGTAATAGAAGTAGTAAAAACAAAGCAGGTAAGGGGCTATGATAAATGGGCAAATGGATACATTTCTTCCATTTGAAGGATCAGAGAGGAGTATCACTGAGCCATGCACTGTTCTTTAAATCTCTGCTTGTAAAGCTTAGGCTGTTCTGACATAGAGTTTCTACATTGGGGATCAAAGTCTTATATCTATGAAGGAATATTTGTTTGTTCTAAGTTTAACTCTTGAAGAGACCAACATGCTTTCTTTTTTTGGGAGGAGGGGAGATTTTTGCTATAGGGCACATGTCCTCACCAGAAAAAGAGAGAGAGACAAAAAGTGAGAGATCACTCCCCAGGGGGATGGCCACGCCACAATCCCTTCTCCTCCATTCTCCTCTCAGGATCTTAGGCATGCACGCACACACACCCAGCGTGAGTTTAAGCCACCGGGTCTGGGACTTGAACCACGGCTGACTACTTGGGAGTCCAGTGACATAGACATTACGCCAACTGCTGGTCCCAAGACCAACATACTTTCTTTGGAGTCCCCAGTCAGGCAAAAAATCAGCCTCATAGGATTGAATTACTACCTTATAAATGTACAATGGTTCTTGATGTGATATGTCTGTAAAGACCTTTGACCCTTTTGTCTCCCTTCCTTAAACTTACCTAAACTGCTCCAACCTCTTCCCTGTCCTTCGTTTAATAAACCCTTTCCCATTATACACTAACTCCTATCATTTAGCTCTTGGTACTGTCATTCTCATCTGTCCCCTCCCATCACACTTCCTGTGTTCCCTCATCATTTTGGTGCCTAGACAATAGAAACCTTTGAATGTGATGGATTTCCACAAGGTGATTGTATTGCTTTATCAACACACCCTAACTGTAGTCATCAGATGTTTTAAGGGCTCACCTTTGGAGCTCAGAAAAATGTTAAATGTTAATGTATCTGAATTACGATTGTCTCTTTCCTGTTCTGAACAGAGGACAAGTCATACAATGGTGGAGGAATAGGTTCTTCAAATAGGATCATGGACTTCTTGGAAGAGCCAATCCCTGGTGTAGGGACATATGATGATTTCAATACAATTGACTGGGTAAGAGAGAAGTCTCGAGACCGGGATAGGCACCGAGAGGTAAGACAAAAGATGGTACATCAGTAAGTGTTAGGAAGCACCAGGGGAAGAAGTTGAATATATTCTTTTTGTTCTTTCCTTTCTTCAGTCCTGAGTGTAGCTGATTCTGGTTTCAATTAGCAATGTAGTTACATTTTTTTTTCAATTTTGCCATGGGGCATGTGTGCACCAGAGAGAAATGGAGAACAAGAAGGAAAGTGAGAAAGCACTCCCCTGGAGAATGGTCATGCCACTATCTCCTGTCTTCCATTTCTCCATCTTTTTGAGATTTTGGACAAGCACACACAAAACCTGGCATGTTCCTCAAGTTCTAGGTCCAGGACTCAAACCATGTGGTCAGCCATGTTGGATTCAGCTTCCCTAACCACCATGCTACTGGCTGGTCCATGATTTTAATTTTTATTTTATTAAAAAATGTTTTTAAAATTGCTGTCAAGATGGTACATACATTTGCTATTGAGAGACAGAGAGAGGGAAAGCAAGAAAGCACTCCATATGGGACATGGTCATGCTACAATCCCTTATCTTCTATCTCTCCCTCCTTTCAGGATTTTGGACACACATGCACATGTGCCTAGTGAATCTGGGACTTGAACCATGTAGTTGGCCATGTGGTGGGACCTAGCCTCCTTAACCACCAAGCCACAGGCTCACCTTTATGGTTTTTATTTTTAAAGGTATACAATATATTGTTTTTATCCTAATTTTTAAAAAATGCCATATTTAAGGATGATTTATCTTCTTTTTTTTCCTTTTTTTTTTTTTTTTGAGAGAGATTTTCACTGTAGGGCGCGTGCGTTCGCCAGACAGACAGAGAGAGACATAGAGACAGAAAGCGAGAAATCACCCCCCAGGGGGGATGGTCACGCCGCAATCCCTTCTCCTCCATTCTCCTCTCGGGATCTTGGGCACGCACGCACACGCGCCCGGCGTGAGTTTTAAGCCACCGGGTCCGGGACATGAACCGCGGTCGACTACGTGGGAATCCAGCGACATAGCCATTACGCTAACTGCTGGTTCCCGATGATTTATCTTCTTGTAATAGTAGTTGAAAAAGATCCATACAGACCAGAAATTAATATACATAATATACTCAACTGGGCTACACAGAGAGGTGAAAGCTAACTAGGGGGTGAGTGTCAAGATAGAAGTTAAAGATCTTCCTTCCCAGCTCATCTTCCTTTTATGGGTTTCCTCTTGATGTTAGATTTTTAAAACTAAGAAAAGTAAGTAGGGTCCTTTTTTTAAAAAATTAACCACCATGCTACTTGCTGACTCCATAGGGTCTTTTTAAATGAACAAAAGAAAAAGTTCTCAGTCTCAGTGTTTACTGAAGCATACAGGATAAGCTTGTGATTATACTCTTATGCAACCATAAAACTAAAGTAAATTTATGTATTCAACTCGAACAACATCACAAGAATGAAATTCAAATTAAGGACATTAATTTAATGTGATTGGTAATAGATGGTGCTTATGACTATGACACAGGTTCTTTTTAAATTGGCAAGAAAATTCCCCTACTTTTCTTTTTTTAAAGTACTGTGAAAACTTCTAAGAGCAGGTTGCCAGGGTCATATGCCCTTAACTTGGTGTTATGTATCATTTAAATTAGAGAATCACTAAGGGACAGATAGTACTGCAGTAGTAACTTGACTGAACCCACATGGAAAAGGGCATGAGTTTGTGTCTTTGGACCCCATCCCCCCGGGGCACTTTGGGTACATGTGCCCATGATTCAGGATGGTTGAGACTAGGGATGGATCATGGCATGAAGGCCTTGTTGGGGATCTCTCTCTTTGTCTCTTGCATGGAAGAAATAAATAAACTTAAAAAATAAATTAGGGGATCATAATTTCTAGTTTGTGTAAGGGTCACATTATTGTTTTTTCTTTCTTACTATTTCTGCTTGGATTCCAGTTTTACAATTTGATTTTCAGACTGACCCCACTCTCTCCTGAGTTCATGATCTCTTTATCACAGAACCAAGCAAATCTCCCAAGCAGTCAGTTGGAGATGGCTTTTCATTCTTAACCTTGTACCAGCTTCTGATTGGTTTTCTCATGACCACCTGAACCCAGGAATCAGGTTGTCCTGGGTACATACAGGTTTTGAGAAATTCCTTCTTAATCCTTGGATTTGTGGTAATTCGCCTGGGTTTGCTTATGACAACTCAAAAAAGTGATCTCCCAAAAACATTATTTTTCATGAAATTTTTACCATTTGAATATATAACACACACATATACTCTATAATAGAAATTCATCAGACAGGCTTTAGAATTTAGAAATCTTGCTGTCTTTATAATTTCTGCCATCTGTAACACACAGTTCAGTTTGTCATCAGTTGCATATTCAATATGTTATTTAAATTGTGAGAGTCACCTAGATATTACAAGGGCACATGTGCCATTATATTCATGGTTGCATCCCAAGCAAATAATACTGGTTAATAACAATCTAAAATCAGTTAAAGTAAGTTTATCAAATAGTCCAAGTGCACTTTTTAATATTAATTGTTTTTATCAGAAAGGAAATAAATGTCACATGGAAAAACATAACCCCATCAATTTTTACAATTGAAACTGAAGACTTAATGATCTCATAGGACTCATAGGTCCAATTGAATTTTAAAACTGCTTTGAAACTTTTGTAATAATTTATTATTTGTGATGTTGCTGTAGATGAAGTTGGAGTAGCTAAGTCACTGTTTCAAGGATAAAAAATAGAAGCACAGAGAAAGGGGCATATAACGATGACAAAGGTGTCAGAATGTTGGTTTTTAAAATGTGGGCACTGAAGGATTAAATTGACAAGACTAGGACCTAAAAACGGTACTTTTTAGAAATTTCAGCCTTTCAAAATGTTTATACTTTCCTCATGGCTTCAGATACTCAAACCTACCTAAGTTAAGTTTTTGAAAATGAAAGAGATTTATCTCAGATATCACTTAGTATCTGTGATGAGTGTACAATTAGGTGTTTTGGGGATAAAGTCTTATAATTTGCCTGACTTGAACCACAGCCCAAGGTAGTAAACCTCAAATTGTACTTTCATCACTCAAATAAGCCTTTGCTTACTCTTTGAAAAATAATCAAACTATTTGCTGTATGTCAAAAGGCCCTCCTTGGAGTATTTCCTGCCCAGGACAAAAAGAGATCACAGCAATAAACAAAACAGGTTGATAGTATAAGAAATTAGCAATTGAATGGAGAAGTTCCAAATAAGGTATTTATGGGTATTACATACTGTAGATGAGGGTGGGATTCAGTAGCACTTAAAATTCTTAGTAAACTGGGTTCAGCTAAGCATTATGTGAGACATTAATTCTAAATTGGTCTTTATTCCCAGGTGATTTGTCTTTGTATTTTTTTATTGAGTAATTTTGAGGTGAAAAAAGGAAGGGCATATGTAACATGTACCAATGTTTTTACATTCCCCCCTAGATTACCAATAAAAGCAAAGAGTCAACCTGGGCCTTAATTCACAGTGTAAGTGATGCTTTCTCTGGCTGGTTGTTGATGCTCCTTATTGGACTTCTATCAGGTATGCAAAGAGATATACTAAAATTGTGGTATGCCCCTCCCCCACATCATGATTTGAGTGCTGTATTTTCCTACCCAAAATGAATTACTGGTGAACTTTTTGGAAGGTTGATGTCTTCATTTGTAACAGGGTACTATAATAGTACCTGCTTCACCTACCTTATATAAATATCCACCGTTCCACTTTCTACTTCTGTGCATTGGAATCTTTTAGCTTCTGCCAGTCAGTGAGAACATATAGTATTTGCCTTTCAGAGTCTGACTTATTTCACATAGCATTATTTTCTCCAGATTTGTTCATGTTGCCTCAAATGATAGGAATTCATCCTTTTTATGGCTGAATAGTATCCTATTCCATTTGTGTGTGTGTGTGTGTGTGTGTGTGTGTGTGTGTGTGTGTGTGTACACACATTTTCTTTATCCATTCATCTGTTGCTGGGTACACTTAGGTTGATTCCATATCTTAACTATTGTGAATAATACCACAATAAACATGGAACTATCTCTTTGACATATTAATTTCCTTTACTTTCATTATATACCCAGTAGCAGGACTAGAACTCTTTTTAGGGTTCTTTTTTTTTTCTTTTAAGGAACCTCCATACTGTGTTACATAATGGCTGTGGTAACTTGAATTCCCACCAATAGCACACAAAGTTCCCCTTTCTCCATAGCCTTGCCAGCACTTGTTATTCTTAGCTCTTTTTGGTAATAGCTGTTCTAAGTAGAGTGGATTGATAACTCTTTGGAACAGGAAGAACTTGGTTAACAGATACAAGAGTGCATGTAAATAAGTGGAATGGGTTATAGAATACTATAGCACAGTGGAGTAAAGGAAATACAATTAATAAAATATCGTATCTATTATAAGGTTATGTTAGCTCTGTGTTTCAGTGCTTGTCTGGGGAAAAGCCCTTCTGTTAGAGATAGGTTTATTTTTCTTTTAATGCATACTAATGAGATTTATGAAAGATACAGAGGACCTCCTAAGTCATTTGGTGGTACAAAAAGGCATATAAGATATGGCTCTTAGTCTTAAGGAGCTAACAGCCTCATTCTTTCATGGTGGCTGAGAGGTGATATGGTACTGTCTTTCATATAAACTCCATCAATCTGCTCCTCCACTCCAAATAATAAAAAAGCTAAGAGTAGTATACTTGATTTGCTAGTACAGCTTTAAAGCAAGTTCTCAAGCAGGCTTCCCCTCCCAAGGGGGAAAGCAGAGAGCCAAGCATATCAGGCAGAGATACCCAGAGGTATATCCTTATAACATGAAAAGATGGGGCCTAGGAATATCTGGAATCATGAGCTGAAATAGAAGTTAGATGGGAAACCTGGAGATAGATGGTATAAAATATAGTAGGCTCTAGTTTCAGGCCGCCAGAATTTGAATCACAACTCCACTGCTTGCTAGTTCTGTGGCATTTGGGAAGTTGCTTAACCTCTTTTCGAGTATTGATCTTTGTTTACTGATCTACTAAATGGTGCTAATAGAAGTACCTATGTTAAAACTTTGGGGCCAGCCCAAGGTGTGGTGTGTAAGGTGTCTGGATACCAATGGCCAATCACGCAGTTTGAGTCCTGGACCCAGCAGCTTGAGGAACATGCCCGCACATGTGCATGCATGCCCTAAATCCTAGTAGAAGGGAGAAATGGAGGAGAAGGGATTGTGGTGTGACCATGCCCCATGAGGGGTGCTTTCTAGCTCTCTCTCTCTCTCTCTCTCTCTGTGTCTCTCTTTGTCTCTCTGGTGAGATTACATGCCCTCTGTCAAACTTTTTTTTTTGAAGTTTGCTATGAGGATTAGATGAGATATAGCACATACAGCACGTAGCACAGTACCCAGTTATTAATGCTGTTAATGCTGTTGCCTAGAGATAATAATTCATGAGCCAAGGAATAGAAAATTATTGCAGCAAATTCAGAATTGCTTATCCATAGGTAGGTTTTCAAAATTGTTTAGGACAGGAGCTGGGAAACTTTCTGTAAATGAGCCAGTTAGAAAATATTTTATGATTTGTAGGCCAAGCAGTCCCTGTATCATCTATTCCACTCTGCCCATATGGCATAAATGATATAACAGACCATACGTAAACCAATGAGCCTGGCTGTGACCAAGAGAGCTCTATTTACAAATATAGGAGGCAGGCAGGATTTGGTCTTCAGACCATTGTTTCCAGCGCATGGCATAGTGTGTTCACTGTGCTCCCTCTGACTTATACAGGAGAGAGAACATGGTCAGGTCAGTTTGGAGCTGGCTAATAACAAACTAGGTCACCTGTATAATGCCAGGTATTGCAGAGAATCTGAGGAGAAGGATGATGGTTGAGAAAAGGCTTTACAGTCTAGTGGTTTAGGAGCATCTACCCTTATCCTTCCTGCTGTCTTATTTTCAGATCTATTTCTGTCACAGAGTGCGAGCATTCAGTGCATATTAAGAAAAGATACACACTGTTTGTCTTTCAAAAGTGACTTCACTTAGCAATAGTCTTCCATATTTAACCACTTTGAGACAAATGGCAGTGTCTCATTTTTCCTTAGGTCTGAATAGTATTTCATAGTGTATGTGCGCCATGATTTTTCAATGCAATCATCAGTTCTGAGGCACATAGATTGATTCCATGTATCTGCGATTGCAAATAGTACTGTAATAAGCATGGAAGTGCAAGTGTCTTTCTGACTGAGTGCTTTCCTATACTTTGGGTAATTACCAAGGAATGGAGTTACTGGATCAGATGGTAATTCTGTTGGTTTTTTTTAGGAGCCTCCATCTCGTTTTCCATAGTGGCTGTAGCAATCTGCATTCCCACTAACAGAATAGGAGGGTTCCCTTTTTGGCATACATTTTATTCTTTAGGGTGGAGGGAAGCCTAGTAAAATTTGTAACTAGAGAAGAAAGAGCTATTTGGAAGAAGGAAAAGGAGTAGTGGAAGTAGAAGTAAAGACAGAATCAAAGATACCAGTGTTAAGATATATGCACATAAAGCAACTATATACCATCGTGTTAATTCTCTGAATCCAGGTAGTAACTGGAATTAGAGTTAGAAGGCAGAGAAGGCTGGGGGCTAGAGTGACCATGAGTAGATGTCAGTGTGTTAGATTTGACTAGATTATTCAAGTATGTAAATAACCTACGTTAGCACTTTTAGCACCTACCAAATCATACACATGACATGGCTTCCCGTCTCTTGGAATGTAGGTGTAATACCCTCAACTTTTAAATATATTTCTTGTTACTAGGTGGTCAGTGAATATTTTTTTTTCTCTCATATACACAGGGTATTTTGTGTTTAGGCATTGGAGAGCAACAATAGAAGCAAGTGTGTCAATACAGGAAGAGTCTGGGAATTCAAGGGCTGTGAATTTTAATGTCGCTACTATTTCCTACAGCATGATTCTGGACCATTTCATTTCTTTATGCCAGAATTTCTTCATCTGAATGACAGAAATGATGAGAAGGCCAGATCCTTAAGTACTGTAACTATCTTAAACCTACCAACCTGCTAGCCACAGTGCACAAGTCCCCAGTTCACTATTCAGTTCCTCATAATTTTCATTGATGAATGTTCAGTGTATAACACTGTTTGCTCCTCCTCACTAAGAAAACTTCAGAATGTTCCTGTCCTAGGTTTAGGAGGCTCCAACATGACCACAGCTTTATCTTATATGAATATCAGTTTTTGAATAATAAATTCAGTTCCCTTAGCATAGAATGCCTTCCTGCCATCCTTCAAATTCCTTTATCCATGGAGTAAAATCCTGTTGTCAAGGCTTAGCTCTTCTCTTCAAGCCATCTCAATCAAATAAATATTGTAGAATATTCTTCAGTGAGGATAGTTCATGCTTTCTCAATCTTTTGTCTGTCTTTAATAATTGACTGTCTTTACAGATCAGTATTCATAAACTGAGTCAAAGCAATGTCTTTGCCCCATTCAGTTTAAAGAGAAAACCACTAGCCCCTTGCTCCCACCCAACCATGTTGTTTTCCCCTAAGTCCCTCATATATGGAAATTCTATTGATACTAGTGCTTAATGCAGAGATAATAAGTGAAAATCAAGCAAACACACAATCAGAAAGAATTTACAGATGGAATCAGAAAGTATGTGCTTGTCTGATGTTTTGATTCATTGTTCCTTGTTTTCTCTGATAAAACTTACTCTGATTGCCAAAGAACATTGATTTGTAAATTGAATTTAACTTTGGTCTTTCCCTCTCTCCCTCCAAATCAGGTTCCCTAGCTGGTTTAATAGACATTTCTGCTCATTGGATGACAGACTTAAAAGAAGGTATATGTACAGGGGGATTCTGGTTTAACCATGAACATTGTTGCTGGAACTCTGAGCATGTCACCTTTGAAGACAGAGACAAATGCCCAGAGTGGAATAGCTGGTCCCAGCTTATCATCAGCACAGATGAGGTAACATGTACTAGGGATTTCTGAATTTTATCCTTACATTTATTTAATTTCTTAGACTATATTCACGACAATTGTAGAATCTTCCCCTATTTTCCTTTTCACAAAAAAGGAACCATTCTAGCTACCTTTCTCTGTGGTTTAGGTACAGCCCCTTTTCTACCTCTTCTGACAAGTGGAATCATTTGAAGTTTATATTTAAAAGTTTAATGGGTTTTGGGAACCAGCAGTTAGTGTAATGGCTATGTCGCTGGACTCCCACGTAGTCGACCGCAGTTCGTGTCCCGGACTCGGTGGCTTAAAAAACTCACGCTGGGCACGTGTGCGTGCGTGCCCAAGACCCTGAGAGGAGAATGGAGGAGAAGGGATTGCGGCATGACCATCCCCCCTGGGGGGGTGATTTCTCGCTTTCTGTCTCTATGTCTCTCTCTGTCTGTCTGGCGAGCGCACACGCCCTATAATGAAAAAAAAACCTTTCCAAAAAAAAAAGTTTAATGGGTTTTAAATAAGTCTGATATTTATTCTTATTTGCTAATACACAGTATAACTAAAAGTATCTTGCCCTAATAATTTCAGTAGAAATGTCAGAGGTTGCCAACAGGTAAGTTATAATTTCTGATGAAGTATGGAATGAGTTAAAAATGTGTTTATTGGGGACCAGCAGATGGCATAGCAATTACATCACTGGACTCCAACATGGCAGCAGTTCAAGTCCCAGCTCTGGTGACTTAAAACATGCCAAGTGCATATGCGTGCGTAACCAAGATCCCAGGAGAAGATTGGAGGAGAAGGGGTTGTAGTGTGGCCATCCTCCCTGGAGGTTGATTTCTCACTTTCCCTCTTACTGTCTCTGTCTCTCTCTCTCTCTCTAGTGAGCACACATACCCTAAGGCAAAAACCACTGAAGAAAAAAATGTGTTTATTGTATATGTACCAAAAATGATTTTTCCCTTGAGCACTTCTTTAGAGCATTTTAAAAATTATGATACATTCCACATCAAAATAACAGAATTCCAAAAATAAAATGGCCCATCATTCCATCTTATGATCATTCTGTATGTTCATTTGCCCTCATCATCTAGCATATACTTTTAGATACAAAAGCAACTTTGTTTTTCAGTTCCTTACCTTTCTCTTATCACTCAAATATATGTTAAGTCTCTCCCACAGAAAACAAAAGCATATAAAACAGAAAACTGCACTGCCAATTCCACTCTGACACCCACCAGGGGAAATAGGTACCATCTTAGGTCATCACTCCTCTTCTGTTGGTGAGGTAAGGGAGACAAGGTAGTATATATGTTTGTAATTTTAACACTCATTTTTATTACCTACCTTGGTTCACAGTTTGAAGTGGCATGTACACACATACACACACATACACACATAATCAGTCAAGGGAAAAGAATAGGAAAATAATGTCAGAAATAGGAGTGTTTGTGTGTGTGTGTGTGTGTGTGTGTGTGTGTTGTGTGTGCGTGTATACAAATGGCTTGGGAAAAGGATTCAATATAAAGGGTAGATATATGCTGTATGTTTGAGAGGATTCAGGTCTATGCTTCTCAAATAGGTAAGATCAGTATTCCAGAGGGTAGGTATAACCATTAGATTTATGTTATACCTGCCTTCTCAGAGCATCTGTTTTTTCCTGAATATTTGGAGGAAATTTTTTTTTCCAAAAGTCACACGGGACCAGCAAATGGCATGGAGGTTAAGGCAACTGGATGCTATATAGCTGACTGTGCTGTTTGAGTTCCAGACCTAATATCTTAAAAAACACACCAGGCAAGACCAGCAGTTGATGTAATGGCTATGTCACTGGATTCCCACGTAGTCAACCACAGTTCAAGTCCCAGACCCAGTGTCTTAAATTCATGCTGGGCACGTGCTCATGCATGCCCAAGATCCTGGGAGAAGAATGGAGGAGAAGGGACTGTGGCATGGCCATTGCCCCTGGGGGTGGGGTGGAGTGGTGGTGGATTTCTTGTTTTCTGTCTCTCTGTCTCTCTCTGTCTTTCTGGTGAGCACACGTGCCCTATAGCAAAAAAAGAAAAAACAAAAGAAAAGAAAAAAGAAAACCACCAGGCTCATGTGTATGTGTGCCCAAAATGCCTAGAAGGAGAATGGGGAAGGGATTGTTGTGTGGCCATTCTCCCTGGGAGTGATTTCTTACTTTGATCACAGTTTGAATCCCAGACCAGAGGACTGAAAAACATACCATGTGTTTGTGTGTGTGTGTGTGTGTGTGTATATGTGTGTGTGTGTATATGTGTGCCAAAAATCTTAATGAGATAGAGAAATGGAAATGGAATTGTGGCATGAACATTCCCCCTGGGGGCTCTGCTTGCAGTCTCTATCTCTCACACACACATATACCCTCTGGCAGTTAAACAGACAGACCAAAAACAGAACAAAACAAAAATCTGTAGCTTGAGATTTCCTTGAATGACAGATTTCTCTGGCTCTGCTTTTTATGAATGAAATCCTTGCCTGGCAAAGTCTGCTAGGTTTTAGAAGCCTTCTCCTGCCAAGAATTTGGCTTCCTGGTCTCTGCCTTTGTCCAGTTTAAGTTATTTTTCT